ACTGTCCCTGACCTAACGGTCCCCTTCTGGCCTTAAAAACCTATGAATCTATAGTGAAGGCAAATGTACATTCTTCCAAATTAAATCAGTTTGATGCAGTTCCAGTTCTGTGAAATGGTCCTTCAGTTTATAAGTATTCAGAAGATGGCCTCTTTTAAGGCAATATGATCTATACAATATGAAACACGGATTCCATGCCACATGCATCAATTCTAAGCTGCTAATGATACATAACACCAAGCATAAAACTACTGTGACACATGAGACAATAGGACAAGAGCAGTTCTCTTGTTCCAGTTTGGTCAGCCTGAGATGAAGGTCCAACAACTTCACTTCTTGTCAACAGAAGAGACAGGAACTCTTTCCAGCCCACGAGATAATGCATTTCAAAGCAAGGCTGCACCACCTCTGAAGAGAAGGAAGTTGGTCAACTTGTGCTTTAAGAGAGGATTTACTTTGAACAATCTTAACTGGGTCCATAAGGGTGGATATTTTCCCACTCACTATCGGTTATTTCTGAAAAATGCAACCTCCTATTAATCATTGCATCACTACAGTATTTTAAAAGATCTTCCTTGATAAAAATAGTCTGGAGCTCTGTTGCTATAACTTTGGCAGTAATTTCTCCTGCAGATTTGTTCCAGCACTTTGCAGCACAAATTTTGTCCAAGGACTCTTGTACGTGGAGGTGTTAATCTACATGCAGAATTCATTCATCTAAAATCACTCCACTGGCAAAAGTTATCAGTCTCAGTCTAGGTTGCACACAAACAGCATACACAAAACCCAGGGTTTGCAATCAGTCTGCCATTTCATATTTTTTATTAGAATAGTCCCTCTTTCTAATCTCTCCCCTCACCCTAATCTCCACCCATCTCCTCATGCACACTAGTCATCTCTCAGTTTTAGGTTAGCCAAGCCAGCATCTTCTGTCTAGACAACTCTGAGCCAAAAGGTGTAATAAATTAGACACAGGGCCAGACTTACAAAGGTATTTAGGCATCTAAAGAGGTAGACAGATACCCAGTGGGATTTACAAACGTGATCACGTGAGCTAGCACCTACCTCCCATTGACTTCTTAGGGGCCTTTGTAAATCTCACCCTGCATGAACTAGAGTTTCCTGGGTTTTCTTGTGAAAAAAAGAGAACAACTATTTTTAGCAATGTTTGTGTTTTAATCAAAGGTTAGTTTCTTACCTGTAAAATTTGACTTTTGAATCTTAGATCCCCCAGTCTGGAAGTGGTAACTTACCTCACAATGCATCAATGCCAGAAGAATCAATAGCAGAATAAGACTTTTAATCACACTGGATCTCAACCACAGCTACCAACCGCTTCTCCAGTTGACGCTTCCTTGACTTCAAGGAAGTAAACAAAAACAGAATCTCTCTCCCCAGTAAAAAGAAAAGGAGGACTTGTGGCACCTTAGAGACTAACAAACTTATCTGAGCATACGCTTTCATGAGCTACAGCTCACTTCATCGGATGCATGCAGTGGAAAATACAGTGGGGAGATTTATATACACAGAGAACATGAAACAAGGGGTGTTACCATACACACTGTAACACGAGTGAGCAGGTAAGGCTTGAATAAAGACTGGGAGTGGATGGGTCATTACACAAAGTAAAACTATTTCCCCATGTTTATTCCACCCCCCACTGTTCCTCAGACATTCTTGTCAACTGCTGGAAATGGCCCACCTTGATTATCACTACAAAGGTCCCCCCCTCCCACTCTCCTGCTGGTAATATGTCACCTTAAGTGATCACTCTCGTTACAGTGTGTATGGTAACACCCATTGTTTCATGTTCTCTGTGTATATAAATCTCCCCACTGTATTTTCCACTTAATGCAGCCGATGAAGTGAGCTGTAGCTCACAAACGCTTGTGCTCAGAAAATGTTAGTCTCTAAGGTGCCACAAGTCCTCCTTTTCTTTTTGCGCATACAGACTAATACGGCTGCTACTCTGAAATCTCCCCAGTAACAATCCTACTTAAATATAATTTTTTAAAAGGGGGGGGGCACGGCGGGGAGAGAGATTTTCAGACCAGTGGATCTGAGATTCAGAAGCCAAATCCAGCTTTTCAGTATCAATCTGGAACTAAGGGGTCTTTAGAGAAATAGCTTATCTAAATACAGAATAAGAGGAAAATGAACCACCACTATAAAGACCTTTGGCCAGTCGTAGCACCAACACAGGTGAAGGTGTGTGCATGGGCAGATGCTTTGCAAATTTCCCCCTGCTCATGAGACAGCTTGTATCCTTATGGAACGATCTTAAATCCTGATGGGAGGGTGCACCTTCTCGTGCCTTTATGCCTATTTAAAGTAGGCCCAAAAAGCCCAATATTTTTAGGAAGAAATCTAGGAAGAGAAAAACAACCATAAAACAAACAAAAACCCAATTCATCTGGAAGAATTTCCACAAGAATGTTCATTTTAAAACAAGGGTGCCAATCTTTAAACAAAGAGTTTTAAAGAAAGATGACAATAAAGTAGCATTTAATTGATTAAAGATCCAAGCAGATAGTTGCTTATGTAGAGATCTAGTGAAAGAAGCAAAAGATCAAAAGGAAAACAAAAAGTTTGCTCTCCTAACACCACCTATTACTGACACTGAAAGAGGAGATAAGGAAGGTTGCCCTAGGAAGAAACTGTACGTTAGTAGTGTTGGGAGTGTTTTCCAGTGTACTATTCAGTGCAATCCAAAACAAGAGATTCCTATACCAGCTCTGAAATGAAAAAATCCATTGTTCTGATTCTGTTCCTCTTTCAAGGGAAGTAGCAACATTTCACTGTGACTAAATAATCATTAGCACAGAGATTGGTATCCTTGTTCCAGCCTTCTTCAGCGTAGTTGGTCTGTTACTATTCTCAGTTTTCTACTGCACAGCACATCTGGAGAGATTCAGGTTTCTTTACATCAGAGCAATCAGAAACTGAGTTTCCCACATTAAAATGTCATTTTCAGCCTCTGGCTTGTTCAGGTTACGCCCAGGACCTCTTGCACCTTCAACTCTTCATTGAAAAGCCCCAGAAATGTCCTAGCACTCCCAAACTCACGCTTATGTTTGTATTTTAGCAAGCCTCCTAATTCAACCAGTGTCCATGGACAGACCTCAGCTTCTGGATGGCATTGATCATTGGTTCTTGAAGTGGATTTCCTTTAACGATGTAGTCTGACAGCTACCAGTGTAATAAGGATTTTGCTCTGAAGTAGTTGAGTAAAGATTTACAGAATCTTTTGGCTACTTCTTCTAAAGTACAGAGACAAATACCTGTAGGTGCATAAGCTTCGTAAAAGATGGCTAAGATAAGCATTGAACTTGTGAATCATGATATTTGCCTCTAATATTCTTCAACGTTTGACCTGAAAAAACATCCAGATGAAAAAATCTCTCTGATGGAAACAAGGCCTTCTTGAAATTTAGTACCAGTATATAAAACAGATTGATCACATTTGTAATGAACGCTGGGTTTGTGACAAAGAAAAGGAGCTTTTACTAGCCACATCATCTATAGAACACATCAGAGATCACCACATCTCAGAGACTTTGCAATCACAAACAAATGTCTTGAGCCACTTCAGATCTAGAACTAGACAGAACTTGCCCACTTTCTGGTGCTATAAAGCACTACGGATAAAACTGTTGAAGTCTAGCTAAACCATTAATGGTCCATAATGTTTTTTAAATGATTCCGTACATAGAATTGTCACCTTGAACATAGCTAGAAGATTTCTGTATGGATTTAGCCATTGGTTCCCCTTTGGGACTTTGGACAACAGTCCTCATCAGATATTCTTCTATATACCTGGCCATTACGAATCCATTCTCTCAGAATCTGTGTAGCAGGCTCACAACTAAGACTCCAGCAAGAAAAAGGTCAGTCTGATGACTCAGACTCAGACATTAGCTGAAGTGGAGATCTGAAAAGGTACCTCAGAATATTGCCAGCCCATTGTATTTTAAATTCTGTTTGGGATGTTATGCAACGGTACTGTTTCTACTTTTAGGAAATATAATGAAGAGCCATTAACAATGCAAAGTATTATTACCAGTACCAAGTTCTCCCTCTACCCTCCATAGCTGAGCAGAATAGACGTGATCAACCAAATAATACATCTGACTAATTTAGCAATATTTTTGAATATACAATTTGACAATAAAAATATTCACTCATTTCTAGCATACAGACTAAGCCTACCATGGAAAGAGCATTTTAAGGTCTAAAGAACCAGGCCATCGGGTTATATAAGGGAAGGGGCTAAGTGGAAAACTTGGTGAATGTTCTCCAAATGTAGCGCTCAAATCTCTGAACTGGATTAAATAGATCAGCTTCATCCAGGAAAGAGGCTGGTTGGGCAAAATAACCTTACATGTTGTTTGACCTGAGACACTTCAAAGGTAATTTTCAAAAAGTGAGCTAAGTGCTCACCCTCTGAAAATCAGGCCTCCATTTTAGTGACTCAAGTTGGGCACCCAAAATCTGACACATGCAGAATCTCTAATCACTTTGGAAAATCTTGGCCTCAGTCTTTCTTTAAAACATGAGATACACACACACACAGTTGTTGCTGGAAAATGAGCTATTAGGTGAAATACTGTTCAAAGAAGCACTTGATAGGAGACCCACTGCATTATGTATTGCTCTCTCTTTGGACATGGAAGCCAACTGATGGACTATAAATTATACCAACATCAGTTTCTTACTGGGTTTGCATACACAGCAATACTATCCTGCCTTGGCTGTGGACAGTTTTGAAATGATTGCTGGCAATACAATTAACAAAATGATATCTATAAATTGCAAGCTACTGCCTTTCCAACACTAACAGATTAAAATTAAAGTTTATTTCAAGCAATCATGAGAAAAATCAGACTCCTAACTAAGAAACATAGAAAAACATTTTTGAAAAGGTTACAGCTACTGCAAATCATGTTTGTGCTACCGTATTTGAACTCTCCATTTAGATTTCACCCCAACCCTTTATTTACCTTGAATCCCCAAAGGACTAATATTGCCTCTCAATGCTGGCACATGATGGTACTGGTGTGGCCTTGAACTCCTGTACATCCAGTGGTACCTGCCAATTTCCATTTCTGGTCTGGTGATCACTGCCAATTTTAGGTGGTAAAACGTCAGTGTCTCCAGCAAAAAAAAAATTTGTTCAATAATTTTAAAATTAAATGAATAAAAGTAAGTGGAGAGTCCAGAAAAATATGCTGAGATTTAGTAACTGAAATATAACCTATTTGTACCAACAAAGAGGAGGAAAATCAACAGAATATGCTGTTAAAGTTATGAGCTAAAGACCATTAGTGATACAAGAATGTTTAAAACTCCTCTAGGTTCTTGAATGAACATAAATACAAATTAAAACATTCTAGTCTGTTGTAGTCTCTGATCACCAAAACTCCCTTACCCTACACCAACCCCCTTCTCTTTTCTGGCAAGCAGTCCCTTCTCTAAGAGATAGGGCAGAAAGGGAAACAGAATTGTGGGAAACCAAATATCTATTTTTAAAGTATCCTAAACCCAACAGAATTAGATAATTACCACCAGATGTAGAGAGAGAGAGAGAGAGAGAGAGAGACAAACACAAATCTGTCCAGTGACGCAAAGTTAACTTCTTAAAACAAACAGATGAGAAAAGCTGCTCTCACACTGGTGCAATTTTTGACCAGCTCTATTGATTTCAGCAGAGTTACTCCAGTTTTACAATGAACGTGTGAGGAGAATTTGACCCATTACTGTTCTCTCCCCCCCGGACCTTTCTCAATTGTTGGGAAATTTCAGTAGTGTCACATCATTTCCAGTCATATGTAATGGTCTGTAATTTGTTGGGAGAATACTTCAAAGCTTTACTGCTCCTGAGCATCATGGAAAGAGGCTATTGGCAAAACAACATCAAATTGCTTTTGGATCAACATTTTTTCACCTTGCCTGGTTATGAATTGCCAGGCTGCCAATTAGGGTGACCAGATGTCCTGATTTTATAGGGACAGTCCCGATTTTGGGGTCTTTTTCTTATACAGGTTCCTATTACCACCCACCCTATCCTGTTTTTCACATTTGCTGTCTGGTCACCCTACTGTCAATGCAAGATGGATCATTTCTTAAAATTTAGTATATTAAATAGCACTGAATATTTATTTCAAAAATATTTCAGTTCACTTTTAACGGAGAAAATTATAATTCAGTGGAAGTTGCACTGTTAGGATTACTTTAGGTTACTGTTTCGGAACAATGATTAGCTATAGCTGGATATCCTTTTTAGAATTTGTATGTAATTTCTGAACATTTATTTACATAGTTTATGTATCATGTCGCACAAATAATAGCTACAGGTGCTCTAATTTACAATTCACACAACTATATACATCTATGGTAGTTACTGGGGTCAAACTCTACATTTCTTTGTTGTTTATACATCAGTGAAAGAACCATCTGTGGTCTTCTAATAAAAAATGCGTGAGAGAGATGGGGTGGATGTGGGTGGGGGAGGGTTAAAATGGGCCATGTAGTCTTGATTTGGACTAATTAATCACAGAAAATGTAATCTGATCGTTATTTCCTAAAGGAGATTATGAAGAGTCTCCTCAAGGGAAGTGGTGAAAACTCCATTCAACAATTAGCCAGTGACTATAATATTGGGAGCAAGACTAGCCAGGTAAGGGGAAGGATTAAGGATTACTGTAGATGACATAGTTGGTCCTTTTCCACGTTTACTCTGATTCCATGACAATGCTCTATATGGTGCCATATCGTGCCTATTGTGCATGTACAGTGCAATTTGGAAATCTTTCTGGTTTTACCATATTCTGTATCACATATGTCTAAGTCTTCCTTCACATGATCATTTGGGCAAACTACTGGGGATACACTCTTTTTAAGATATTCACTTTTTAGTCAGAAACCAAATCCTACTACTTAAAACCTGAATCACTAGGTTTGACACATTATTATCCCTATCATATATAAACACCAAGATTTTCTAGGCTAGACTCCAAAATGTTTCACTTCTAGATTTATAGTTAGGCACTTCTATTTAACTGGCATTGTTCAGGAGGAATGAGCACCAGCAAATGCCACTGAAGTCAAAGAGAACTAGAGCAGCTCAACACCTTTGAAATATGGATTTGGGAGCCTAACAATTGAGGCCTAGCTTTGAAAACTTTGGCTAATAAGTATAATTTGTACAAGAAGAAGATGGGTTATTGTGTTATTCAAACAACCTAAAAAGAAAAAGCATCTCTTCTGGGCTTCTGCACATTCCCACTTGTGGTGCCTTGATCCTACATGTGAGAATATGCAAAGGCTCATCTTGAAAAATTTAAATTTCAGGTGAGTAATCTTCAATTCTTCTTCGAGTGATCTTGGCATATTCTCATTTGTGGGATCAAGGTATCTGAGCCACAATCTTCATATCCATCAAGTCACTAAATGCCTAATGTTTATACAATCAAGGGCTTCCCTCAAAATGAAATTAACCTTTAACATTAAGAAGTCAATTATACTTATTGTATGCAGTAGTATAGCCGTGTCAGTCCCAGGATATTAGAAGACAAAGGTGGGTGAGGTGATATCTGTTATTGAACCAACTTCTATTGGTGAGAGAAACAAGATTTCAAGCTTACACCACTCTGTAACAATAGGAACTTGATTTGTGTTAACACACCATAAATATTGAACAAGAAAAGACCCTAACCATTCATCTCCATTTATTGGATAAACAGAAGTTGGTCGAATAAAAGATACTACCTCACCCACCCTATCTCTCTAATGAAACTTAATTGTTTTGGTTTTAAACTACACACATTTTGCAAATTCACACTTTTTAAAAAGTTGGTATAAAAACGTTATAAAAATTGACATGTAATTGTATTGTTTTAGGCTAATATATAATCATGAATAACAAAACTCTTTGTTTGAAATCTCTCACAACAATTCCTAATTTTGAACTCCATTTTCACTGATTAAGTGCTCCCTTCTAACCTACAATCAACATGAATTTCCAGCACAACTGCTCAGATTTTTCCATCTACTTTTATAATACAGCATATACAAGTGGAGCTTTTTATGCATTAGTCTAATACAATAAAACTATTTCTCAGGAGTTGCTTTTTACGAGACCTTCATGCCTAATTTATTATGGTTATTCACAGCAATTTTTTGGCACTTTTACAACTTAAGAGTAATATTTTTCACTGTTGCATGAAAAAAGCAAACTTCTTGTCTCTCTTAATATGTATCTGGATGTATTCTCCTCCACTGCTGATACAAAACGGCATTTCATTTTGCCCATTTATTCCAGCTCAGTGAATCTACCTACCTAGTCCTCACGTTTTGATTTAATTTAATGCCTACAAGATAAACTGTGTCATTTGTAATAATTTGTAAACCCTCATCTTTAAGTGCATTCAGTCTGTTCTGTAGCTCTGTAAAATATCTGCTCAACATTTACATGAGCTCTGCTCATGGTGTTTCTCTCTGATAAGAGCTGTGGATATGTAGACTAAGCAATACTCTGTGAACAAGGGCGTTGTTCAGCTTCCAATTAAAAAATCAGGGCAGCTGTCATTCTTGTCTATCTTGAGAGAAATAGCTCTGTGAAGGATGTTGCAAATCCAACAGCTGGACTATGTATCATTGCCTGAAGGGGGAATACTTTTATTATTTAATATGAACCCTGAATTAATTTACTTGCAATTTTCGAATGTATTCGTAACGTAAGAAAGATGTAATTTGCACAGTCATTCCCAAATAACTAAATATTTTTAAACACTTTGGGGCAGATCCTCAGCTGGTGTAAATTGTTGTAGCTGCACTAAAGTCAATGGAACTATTGCTGTTTACACCAGCTAAGCATCTGCCGCATTATATTTACCATAGTTTGAGAAAGCATGTGAATTGCACGTATTCCATAGCAAGTTGCATACATGTGTAGATACTGTAAGTAAACTACACCTTCACTTGTTGTCCTGCACTGTTATACAATGTTATTGTGCAACGTTTTCTACAGAGGCAAGGGTGGCTGAAGTATACTATATGCTATACTGTCATACATAAGTTAAAGTTAATAAATGTTTGTATTGCTATTGTTTTTGTAAATGCACTTTGAGATCCTTTGATTTAAAAATCCATAGAAATTTAGACCATCATTAATAGTGAAAATGGACATTTTTCCTACTGTGTTATATCCACTTCAAATTAAACGTTTGTTTTCTCCACAGTTTGTGTGTAGGCACATGACACTGTACATGAACTTGGAGATCTAAAGGGAGATGAATGGTTAGGATCTTTTCTTATTCAATATATATGGTGTGTTAACACAATCACAGTTCCTATTGTTAAAGAGCAATAAGAAATAAAAACAAACCCCAGCATGTCTGGCTTATTTTATTTAATTTAAGTTGGCAATTTATTTCTGAAAGTAAGGTTTTATTACAAAAAATTGTGATATTTTAAAAGAAAACACTGAAGGGTATTCACACGCTCAAAAGATCTCAGAATCTAATAGCTCCAGTTTTTGGCACTGGAGTAAATGGCAAGATATTCCAAAAGGCTCAGTTCCTATTTAGGCACCTACATGAAATTGCAGGATTTTCAAGAATGCCCAGCAACGTTCTCAGCACAGTTGCCAATTTTCACATGGTAAATAGGCACCCCGACTTTCACAATAAGCCAAAACTCAAGCTAATCCCATTTCAAAACCAGGCCAAAACAAGCCAATCCCTAAGAACCCCAACACTCTATGTGACTAGATCCCCCCGGTGTGCAGTCTGGGACTATGGTGGGCCTGTTGTGCACCCCTGACACTCTCTCCTCCCCCCCTTGCCCTTGCTTGCCCCTTGACCATGCTTGCCGGGAGCCGATCAAAAAAAAGAAGAAGAAAAAAAAAAAAAGAAGCAACAAGCTACAAGCCAAACAAGCAACTCACAAGACAATTAAGCCAAAAACAAGCTCAATTTCTGTGTTTTTTCCCCACAGGTTTGGCATGTCTGGTTCTTGGTGTGAGTTACCCCAGGTGCTGGGCTCTCATGAAAATCCTGCCTCTTCATTTAGGTGCCTAAATAGCGGCCGAACCCTTCTGACAGCCTGGCCCAAAAATCTCAAAACAAAACTCAGTGCCCTTCCTCACTGAGTACTTGTAGAAAGGAATAGGCAAATTAATCTGGAGGATTATTTTATTTCATTGTTTAAATTGAGAAGAGGCAACCAGTTCTATTCTTCATATTTTATTGCCATGCATAGTATACTGTTTGAATTTATGAAAGGCAATGTTGAACTGAATGAAGATACAACTTCACAGTGTCTGTAAGGCTGTATGTTACTTTCATAAATGATGAAGTAGGCAAGAATAAAAAAGTCATAAAAATACTAAATGCATTTAAATATCATGTTCAGTGTGTCAAACTAGATACAGGAAAGCCAGAAAATAGTGGTAAAATTAAGGTTCCAAGTCCCTTCTGCTTGCCCCTTTATGAAAACAAGAGAGTCTGTCATTCGTCATGCATATCAGCCTTAACTTTGATAACTTGTTTAAAATAATGAACATTCTCTACATGCTGTGTTTGGGGATTTAGGCAAGGATGAAAATTATCATCTAATCATTAATGGGTCTGCAAGGGACGTTATTTGTGATGTACAATATATGGAAAACTTTTTGAGAGTTGGTAAATATTATATATACTTAGACTATTTAAAATATATATTATTTACCTGGTGGAAAGGAAAACTTTAGACCTTTTAAAAATTATCTAAATGACTGAGATGGCTCTTTTAATCAAAGTATTTAGGATTTATATTTTGTACATTAATATGCATTCAAAATTGCCAGTGAAGTTTGTTGCTGCCCATGCATGTTAATGGCTTTCAAAGTTTAATCTCTTGGCATTGTAACTCTTTTTTGGAAAATCCCTAGGGGATTATGTTTTTCTATGGTCTAATCACTTGCCAAATTTCATTTTGTTGAAATTGATGCTGGTTTTGAATTAGACAGACTAGAAAAGAAAAACAAAACTTCAAATCAGGGAAACAAAATATTTTTCAAACTCTGGTATCAAAGGTTTTCACTATGTATATAATTAAATGCTTTTTTATATGAAAACCCCCTAAAATCTAGTGATATAAATTAGCTATTATAATATATCAACTGGTTCAACTGCTAAGAAATAATACACGCAACAGGTTCCTGAGGAGATCTCATTATCTAGGTATTGTCAGGAGTTCACAAGAAAAAACTTAAGATAATTTTTGTTAGAGATGTTTCACTCAGCAGAATTTATTGTACCTCTTTGTACAATAGCCCGCTATACTGAATGACATGAATTATATGGCAGTCTGATTCCAAAATGTAACAGTCCTTCAGTGGTGGAATTTATCCTGTGAAGTGCTGGACTTTAGATCAATCAATCACCTGGAGCACTCAGATTAAATTAAGTCTCTCTCCTACCACACTGCCATTTTCTTATCTCAGAATAATACATTTGGAACTCTTCTCCCCATCAAGGAGCAATTCTGGATGACACATACACACACACACGCTGGGACTTCAATGTTGCTTCACTCAGTGCAGTATTCACCTTTTTCCTACCATAGGGAAACAAAAGTCTATGGAGTAAAATGTAGAAGATGAAAAGGAATTAGTCTGCTATCTGGCACCAATCTACTGCATCAAGGAAGCTAGGGATGTCATTCTAAACAGGCAGAAAGCTACATGTTCCTGTAACCTAGGTCTCCCTCACTGCATTGCCCAACACTAAAGCACTGCTACATGACTAGTCTCAGTGAAAATTTCTGATTATGGCTCTCAGGACCCTACACACATTTTCTCTCTAAACTAATTTACCAAAACTAATCAAAGAAGGAGCAATAACAAGGCTTCTTTTGCAAAAACACACCATTTTAATGGGGTTGGAGAAGGTTCACAGCGAGAACATATACAGCGGGAAAGATTCCTGCTCTATTAATTTGCTGTCAAGCCTTACAGGGAAAAAAAAACCCTGAAAGCTAGAAAGATGCAATAATGATTGTTTAAGAGCTGTTCTAAAAAGAGTGACAAAAACGGTCTAACCTCTTTAAGTACCCTCAATGAAAAGATTTAAACAGGCTATTGTTAGACCTCTGGGTACCTTTTTTCTCTTGTCTTTGTTCTGTATTTTCCTCTGCTGCAGTTTCCATGGCTGGCTTCATACCATCCACCAAAAATGCTTTCTCCCCCCTCCTCCCAACAAAATCTTTTTCTCTTCTTTCTTTCTTACTCCCTTCTGTCTCTTATTTACAGCAGCAGTGATTGAGTGGCTCTGTTCTTCACTACAGTAGATTACAGTCCTTTCCAAAATGCAAAAAGTCTTGTCAGCTTCAATTTCGCTCTGCTTACTGGTCCATAAAGATTTGTGCCAGGAAACAGTCAGCCATACGTCATCAAGGACCCCAGTTACAAATAGCTATTCTGTGTCCGATTGTGTCCCAACTTCTATGTAGCTGGGATTGGAAGAATCGGCTAACCACCTTTTCTCCTTGCTTGCTCTCTCTTTCCCCTTCCCTCTCTTTCTCCAGAGGCTCCCAATGAATGTTGATCAATTCTCTCAGCAAAGAATGGAGTTGTGACATCAAGTGGGGATGCATGTGAGAATGAAAGAAGCCCCCTCCTGTCGCATGACTCAGCTATGAAACTAGCTCCCCTATTGCTTCTCTAAGGAGAGTCATCACACAATCACAAGGCTCTCTTTCCCATGGGACCCTATTATTATGCTTCACATTTTGATTTATTCCATATGCCCTCTGCTCTTGCAGAGAACATAAACACAATGTGCACACCGCCTCCAGTTTATCTTCTGCTGACTTTAAGAAGCAAGTGAGGTTTGGCTCTCATACAGCACAAACCAAAGGACAACAAACAATTGTGTATGGATGTATCTGTGTCCACATAACATACACAGACAGCTTAAAGCAGAATTTAAAATCCTTTCCTTCTCTGGCTAGCAAAGATCACAATACAAATGTGAACACAAATGAACAGAAGTACAATATAATAGTTTTTAAAATAAAACTGGGTAAGCAAGCATACAGTCCATAATTTTCAAATGGGTGCCTAACATGAGGCCCTGATTCAGGGGAGCAACCCTTTTCAGGGAAGAAGTTAAGCATGTATTTAAGCGCCGTCCTGAAAAGGGATGGACCTGAGTGATTTTAAAGTGCTTCGCTGAATCTTAAGCAATTAAAGATGAGAATTAAAGTACATCCACAGAGATAATGGACATCAGTGATTTAACCAATTTCAAAATTTTGGCCCTGGGGCTGATCCTGAAAGGCAATAAGGTATCAGCTGACTTTAGTGGTTTCTGAGGGGGCTCAACACCATACTCGATAAGTCCCATATCCTGCATGTTCCTTATATTTAATTGGAGCAAGATGGTGGGCAGAGATAAGCACTCTGAAGAGTCTGCAGACATGCTGCAGTCTCCTTTGATTATAAGGAACACACCCACAATTGGTCAATTCAGTCCACAGTTTGAGAATACTCCTGGATTCCTCACTGACACTAAGCTCTCAATAGCAGCATCTGCAAATAATGCTTTCTACCATCTTCGGTTAATTAAGAGACTCTGTCCCTCCTGTGAACAATGACCTCAGTTCGCCACCACTTTATTACCTTCCAACTGGTCTACAATATGCTGGATACGATACCTAAAAGCTCACCTAAAACTCTAGAATAAGACCCATGGTTAACAGCTCTGCTGCTCTAGCACAAAGGTACTTTCTACCTTCAAAGTAAAATTCATCTGTATAGGAGACAGAGCTTTTTAGGAGGCTAACCCAAAGCTGTGTAACAAACAATTCTCCTCCTGGGGAAAGGATGACAAAAAGAACAACCCACTTTTGACACATGAAAGCACTCAGATGCTATGGTGATGAGGGTGGTGATATTATGCTCAGATACTATGGTGATAAGAACCTATACAGAACAGAATTAAATTTTGGTCTAGTGATCCTTGTAAACAAATAAAACTTTATTTGGGGGCATTTTTGCATCTGACATCAGCGAAAACAAAAATACAAGACAATGACGCTAAAAGAAAGACATCTCCAAGTTTCATTGAAGTGCCAGAAAGTAACAAGTCAAAATGGAAAGGCAGCTATTTGTTTCCACAAGTAAAATCACTGCAGCTTGCAATTTATCAATAGACTGATAGTGTTTCTGATAATTGCAGTGCCATATTTAGTTCAATTTTCTTAATGTATTTGGCTTATACTGTCCTATTTGGAAGACTGCTACTTCATTTCTTCCCCCGCAGAGCATGGAAATAAATCCAAATTGATGCAATTTTTATGGGTTTATGATGTGTGGCATACTTCCCAAGATACAATGATCATCTTTGGGTTTTGTTTTGTTTTTTAATGTTTTTGGCTGACCCACTTATCTCTATTGCCTTCAGATGTAAACCGCTATAGAACCTCCGGTCAATTTAAGTGAGACCTATTTGTTGAAAGTTGAATGTTTCCTGGTTCGTAAGTAGTTTTTCTTGAATGAGTTCAGGACTTTAGAAAAGATGTGTTATTAACAAGTTATTAACTAGCAGGCAGTGGAGACCACCCCCTTTTCTTCCAAGGATCGCCCCTCCTATGTCCAAGTAGTGAAGAAATACATAACACTAGAAGAACATATTAACTACTCAAGAACTTGAACTAATGTCTTCAAGAGCCATCAATCTAACTATTTAAAGCTACCTAAACTAATTAAATTATTAATTCTAGCTACTGAATCATCCTCTAAAGATTTAAGTGATGTAGCAAAGTGTGAAGTTCTCTCCCACTCCCTCCTGTTTTCCAGCTTGCTGAAAGATGTGATGGGTTTTAAGTCACAGTTTATCATCTTACTTCAGTCATTTCCTAATTCTCCTCCACTTCTTTCCCTTTATTAGCAAGCACTGCAGATGGAACAAACACTGCTTTCTCCTCTGCTACCATCGGTACTATTACTGTACATACATGTTCAAGACCACTGTAACCAAAAGCCTAAGCCCAAGCCCCCAACTCTTCTCAAAATGAGGTAGGTCTTTTTCAGAATGCACTGTCCTCCAGGGAGATTATAAGGTTGTATGCAAACACTAGCTATCTCCACCACTGTGGTGAAGGGCACTGTTACCCGGACAGCCACAAAGAATTTTTAGAATGAAGAATCTACTCCTTCCCTCATCAGAAGAGTTTTAAAAAGCCTGACAAAAATGATCTCGAGAGACTGAAATCCAGATAACCACAGTCATAAGGACTGGGTTGATTGAGATAACCAATGCTGGGAGAGTCACATGATTATACTCCAGGAGTTCAATAGAGTGACATTTTATTTGCAGCTCAAAATGAAATTAAAAATGAGTGGGGGGGAGGGGGGTAGAAGAGGAGAGGGATGAATGGAGGATTCTGCTGCTGAAACACAGCCCTAAGCCTACAGCACGACACTAAGAGTTAAAGCGATAGAGTTAAGTACGTGAGAACACTGCAGAATAGGTCCCAGTGGATAACCAGTTAGTACAAAATATAACTCCCTATTTTTTGAACTAATTTATTTTAAAATATCTGTAATTATTTTTCTTGGTCAAAGTGAAGCATTGCAATTACACAAATTAAAAATATATTATATAAATATAAATAACTATACTTAAAGATATGTAGGTATATTAAAAACATAATTTTGTTAGCAGGTGCCTATTCTTTTTGAACACTGGCTGCCTCTATTCATGTCAGTAACAATCTAGTTCACATTCATAAAGGATAAGGAGATCTGTGATAAGTTATAGAAAATTCATTATAAGCTTTAAGTAGATGGACACACTCCGCCATTTCTACAAAGGCTTTAGAGAGCTACAACAAAGAGAATTTTCACACTTTTCCCAAAGAACGTTTGAAGCTGAAATACACTGTTTGGATTTTTGAAGGCTAAATCCTGAGACTCTGTATCACACAGGACTGCAATATATATTCAAAGTGGCTAGTTTTAAAGTAAGCAGATAATACAAGCATACATTCTTTTAAAAGAAAGAACAAATGTACATGCAATTTAACGTATGGTTTTATTTTGGGTTTCTCTTGATATATAAACCGATGTGAAGTTTCAACAACCTAAATTTCATCCAAACCCTGTGCATGTTTTTTGCCCCAAGTTATCTAAAGTTGGTGTAAACTCTCTGACATAGTGTTTATTTATAACTGATGACAATTTTCATAGGGTGCGATATGTTCAAAGCACAGTAGTTAGTTTTAGCTTCATAGCTATCACATACTGGTGAGATGCTTTAAAAATTTGCCTCCAATTCCTTTGACATGCTGAACTGTTTGAAAAACAAAATTCCAAGTGATATCATCGTCTCATATTTGCTAACTAGTGATATCAGTAATGAATGATTATGAGAAAAATAATAAAATTGTATTTTAATACTCTACATAACATGCAGAATACTTTAAAATGTGTGTGTATTATATCTATTATTATCTATTATATCTATATCGATAGATAGATGATAAAATGACTGAGTCTCCAATCCTGGACTTCTGTGGATAGAGCAGTATTGGGACCTTAGTTTGGACAATAAGTATCCTCGAGTAATAAGGGATTAGCTGGTGAATTTAGCTCATCACAATGAAAATTCTCAGCTATTTAAAAAAAGTCAGAAGTAGGCAGATACCCAATGACTGTTGATAAACAAGACTGATCCTAGTAAGTTCTATTGATCATAAAATAATGAGAGAAATCAGTCCTTTAACATCTTGGTCCAAATCCTACTGCCCTTACTTATCCTACTTACTTATCGTTTCAATAAAATTCCCATTACACTTAAATGCCATAATTTTTTAAACCTAGGTGTCTACAGTTCACTCGTCTATCCATATTTAGTCTCTTACATGTAACAGACCTGACTTTCAAAGGCCACATTTTTGAGATGGCTAAATATATATTTAGGAGCCAAAAGGAGAGGAAAGCCAAAGACTTCATGAAGTCACTAAGGATTAGCTGTTGTTATTGATTTTATACTTGGATGCTAATGTGATAGGTAGTAGTATAAAATCCTAAGATTTAGACACCCAGGTTTGAAAATTTGGCCAATGGGACTACTTTCATGACGAAAGCCAGCAGGATTTGGCCACTACAGATAAGAGAACCATAACCAATTAGTAGTATGGATTCAGAAAGTTTGGGTACCACCTAACCTAACTGCTTTCTTAATAGTATTAAAAATCTGTGGACAAAGTAAAGCAGTAGATTTAATATATTTGTATTTTACTATGGTTAAGCCTTTGGTACAATGTCTCACAAAACCCTATTCTCAAAATGGAGTCAAAATGGCTTGAATATAAACTCTACCAGTTATCGTGACCCTTTGTTTGTAGCCCTTCAGACTGTTTCCTCATACCAAAGTAACAAGTTGAGGAGAGGTGTGGTACTGGGGAAGGGGGGGGCACGCCCTGCAATGGTCTGCATTAGGGACAGTCTTATTTAATAATATTCATTTAGAAAAAGGAGTAAACAGCACATTAATGAAATTCACAGATTAAACTGAACTGGAAGGCATTAAGAACATTAGCTAGGATAGTAGAATAATCCAAAGACTTTCAGAGGTGAAAATTGTGG